GGAAGTTAAGTCAGATTTGTGAGGTTAGGTTTAATGTCTGCCATCCAGTAGGGTGCAGAGACACAAATACACACACACACACACACACACACACAGGCAGGAGCGGCGACGAATCACTGTGGAGCTGACCCTAATTACAGGTGAGAGAGGTCAGTGGTGCTCACCTGTTTATAGCGGTACAGGTGACGCTCTAAACTATTTCATCTCCTCATTAACACCTGTACCTTATGGGGAAGTGAATCTCTCTCTCCTCTCTCTCTCTCTCTCTCTCTCTCTCTCTCTCTCTCTCTCTCTCTCCTGTCACCAAACTCCTCTCATTCTTCTCCCAATGATCTGTGGACTTCCTCTTCTCCTGTTGTCTCACTCTCCCCATAATTCTCTTCCCCCTCCCCATAATTCTCTTCCCCTCCCCATAACTCGCTTCCCCCCTCCCCCATAATTCTCTTGCCCCTCCCCATAATTCTCTTCCCCCCTCCCCATAATTCTCTTCCCCCTCTCCATAATTCTCTTCCCCCTCCCCCTGAATTCTCTTCCCCTCCCCATAATTCTCTTCCCCCTCCCATAATTCTCTTCCCCTCCCCATAATTCTCTTCCCCTCCACATGATTCTCTTCCCCCTCCCATAATTCTCTTCCCCCTCCCCATTATTCTCTTCCCCCCTCCCCATAATTCTCTTCCCCCTCTTCTTCCCTCCCCCCTCCCATCACGTTCTCTTCCCCCTTCCCATAACTCCTTCCCCCTCCCCACCAATTTCTCATTTCCCCCTCCCCATAATTCTCTTCCCCCCTCCCCATAATTCTCTTCCCCCTCCCCACCAATTCTCTTCCCCCTCCCATAAATTCTCTTCCCCCTCCCCATTATTCTCTTCCCCCCTCCCCATAATTCTCTTCCCTCCCCATAATTCTCTTCCCCCTCCCCATAATTCTCTTCCCTCCCCATCATTCTTCCCCCCTTCCTTAACTCGCTTCCCCCTCATAATTCTCTTCCCCTCCCCTGGTCTCTTCCCCCTCCCCATAATTCTCTTCCCCCCTCCCCATCATTCTCTTCCCCTCCATAATTCTCTTCCCCCTCCCCATAATTCTTCCCTCCCCATCATTCTCTTCCCCTTCCCATAACTCAGCTTCCCCCTCCCCATACCCTCTCCCCCCCCTCCCCATAATACCCTCTTCCCCTCCCCCATATTCTCTTCCCCTCCCCATCATTCTTCCCCTCCCCATTATTCTCCCCTCCCCACACTCCTTCTCTTCCCCTCCCCATAATTTCTTCCCCCCCCTCCCATTATTCTTCTTCCCCCTCCCTCCCCATCATTCTCCCTCCCCATAATTCTCTCCCTTCCCATAACTCTGCTTCCCGCCTCCCCATTATTCTCTTCCCCCCCTCCCATTATTCTCTCTCCCCTCCCCCATTATTCTCTTCCCCCTCCCATAATTCTCTCCCCCCCCTCCCCATTATTCTCTTCCCCCTCCCATTATTCTTCCCCCTCTCTCTTCCCCCCCATTATTCTCTTCCCCTCCCCATCATTCTCTTCCCTCCACATAATTCTTCCTCCCCGTTGTTCTCTTCCCTCCCCATCATTCTCTTCCCCCCTCCCATAATTCTCTTCCCCTCCCATAATTCCATTATTTCCCCTCCCATCATTCTCTTACCCCTCCACATAATTCCTTCCCCCCTCCCCATAATTCTCTTCCCCCTCCCATTCCCTCTCTTCCCCTCCCATAATTCTCTTCCCCCCTCCCATAATTCTCTTCCCCTCCCCCATCATTCTCTTCCCCCCTCCACATAATTCTTCCCCCTCCCCACCTCCCCTCCCCCATATTCTCTTCCTCCCCTCCCATAATTTCTTCCCTCCCATAATTCTCTTCCTCCCTCCCATCATTCTCTTCCCCCTCCACATAATTCTCTTCCCCTCCCCATAATTCTTCCTCCCATAATTCTTCCTCCCCCATTCTCTTCCCCCTCCCATAATTCTCTTCCCCCTCTTAATTCTCTTCTCCCATAATTCTCTTCCCCTCCCATAATAATTCTTCCCCCCTCCCCATAATTCTCTTCCCCTCCCCTCATTCTCCTCCCCACATTCTCTTCCCTCCACATCCCCCTCCATAATTCTCTTCCCTCCCCATAATTCTCCCCCTTACCCTACCTCCCATAATTCTTGCCCTCCCCATAATTCTCTTCCCCTCCCCATACCTCTTCCCTCATAATTCTTCCCTCCCCCATACCTCTTTGCCCCCCCTCCCAGTGTTCTCTCCTCCCCAGTCTCTCCCTTCCCTTCCCTCCCCACAATTCCCTCCCCCATTATTCTCTTCTCCTCCCCATCATTCTCTTCCCTCCCCATCATTCTTCCCCCTCCCATAATTCTCATTTCCCTTCCCATAACTCGCTTCCCTCCCTCCCCATTTATTCTCTTCCCCTCCCTGTTCTCTTCCTACCTCTATAATTCTCCCTTTACCTCCCCATAATTCTCTTCCCCCTCCCCATTATTCTCTTCCCCCTCCCATAATTCTCTTCCACCTCCCCACATTATTCTCTCTTCCCCCT